CATTTCTTGTTTTAAAATGTTATTGTTATCTCTTTTCAGTATGGGAAAGGGGGGGGGGGGACGTGTTGTTTTAGGTTTTGCTACTCTCTTGTTTAATCTTCAGCACGTGTATGACCTAACTGTACTGCAAGAGCCGTAAAACTATGGCTTAAAAAAGTTAATTGTTTGAATTTTCAAGCATTATCTCGAACAACGAACAAAATTCTGCTGTTTTGTATTAAATGGTCGCTTTTAAGGACAAGCGGGCTAACCCAGATTTCGGGGGTTTCCAGAAATCTTGACCTACACTAAAAGTGGGCATTGCCCTACCTATAGGAGAAGTTTGGTTTCATTGGTGTGTATATTTGTTTAGTTATAGAGAAAAGCCTCCTTGTCTTTTAAAGATAGATTTCATGTGTCAAAAAACTTTGCTTCGATTTTCTCTAAACAGCATTTTTCGGGATAGCCCCCTTGTGCTTAAAAGCGACCATATATGAAATTTCAGCTTGTGGTATTTATTCAAAACAAATGAACTGATGGTCTGTTTTACTTCCACCAGAACATGGCCATAGCCTTCATCATGCTGTACCTGGCCATCCCGCCCCCGGACAATCAGTTGGCTTCTGTAGCCCCCGCCGCCTCCTCCATCATGACCCAGATACCGCCTCTCATCACCGTCATCATCTACACCATCTACAACCGGTACAAGAACAAGAACAAGCCTCCGTCAGACGGTGACGACAAGGCAGACGACGACTGCACCATCTGCGAGAATGGGGTGGAGAAAAATGACGTCAAATCGGAGATAAATGGCGTCAAATCGGAGAAAAATGGCGTCATGAAGGTTAAGGACAACGACAAGGCCAAAGAAGAGGGTAAGGGTAGTAGTAGTAGTATGGCCCAGACGTTTTTGGAGAAGCTTATGGGGAGAGAACATGTAAAATCGCCTGCCGATGAGGCTCTGAACCAAGAGATTGTCGTGAAAACTCCTGAGGAAGAAAAACTCATGAAAAAAAATGTTGATAGCAGCAGCGTTTGAGACGACGCAGTCTGTATTGTTTTGTTTTTCAATAAATACTGTATTATTATGATGATGAGCTTAAAAACTCTGTAAGTGCCTGTACGTGCATGAAAAGTGCCTGTAACATTCACACCCTCACTCCTTCCTTTGCTCACTCTGATGGGACTTCTGGAAACCTGCGTTGTGGCGTCCTGGACTGTTGATACACTTAGAAAATGGCTGCATTAGTATAGGAAGGGGGGAAAAGAAATACTAACTAGAAGATACAATAAGCCATCTTACAT